AGGCCTCACTGGAGAGGGCTGAGGAAAGTGAAGCCTCACTGGAGAGGGCTGAGGAAATGCAGGCCTCACTGGAGAGGACTGAGGAGGGGCAGTCCACTCTGGAGAGGACTGAGGAGAGGCAGGCTTCACTGGAGAGGACTGGGCAAAGTTGTGTCATATACAAAGTGACTGCCTTCTCAGCTTCTGTTGTTTGTCTACAGCGCGGTTTGAACGTTACTGTGGAGATCAATGTTCTCTCCTTTGTCCACTTCTCAGGCAGCCTGAAAACTGCCACTTAGCCACCTCCATGCAGTGTACCTTGAAAGGTAGGCTTGTGACATGAAAGGCAGGCTTCTGCCAGAAAGGGGTTCCTGTCAGAGGTGGCAGAGCGACATACCGCAATGCTTTCCTACAGAGCATCTCTGAGATGGTGACTCACCGTCCACAGGCTTTGTCTCCTTCAGCCTGTTTCTCTGTTGTTCCTTCCTGACTTGCAGCAGGCCTGGTTCCTCCCTGCAGGTATGCCTGCAAGCCTGATTAGTCTCAGCTATGAGAAAATATACTGGCAAAAAAAAGGGGGGGCTCTATTAAGCTCAGATTCTAGATGAGGAGATGCAGGCTTAAGGTATGCCTTCTTATTAATAAGCTTCAGTTTCAAGTCTTTGGCCTGAGAGGCCAGCAAGCCTGTTTCCTCTAATATCAGTGTAAACTATGCTGAGCCTTTTCAGGACTCTGCTTCCTTGGAGAGTGGTCTGGTATGTGAAGCTCCTCCCTCTCTCATAAAATCTTCCCCATTGCTCCCTTGACATCATCTCTGGAGAGATCCCTCCTTTGGTCGCTTCTCTTTGCTTTGACTCCACTTCCGCCTCCTCTTTCTCTATGGTTTTAAACAATGTTTCATGGAACCCTTTATGTCCAGCAACCCTAGTTGTGATAACTTCCAAGTTCTACCTCAAATTCAATTCTCACCCAAGATTTCCTCCACTTAACAAGCGTACGTACCTTGGCTATATGAAACTCATCCAGAACTGCACTCTGAAGCCTAAACCAAAAACTGGACTCTTATCCACTTGCCTAAGCCAGAAATCTAGGATCACCTTAAATCTCCCTCTCTTATCTTTCAGAGCTAATCAGCAACTCAACTTATTGAACCTTCCAGATCTTCTCACTGTGTGTGCCACCATTGTTTACGGCAGGCACTGCCTTGTCTCTTCACTTTGATTACATACAGGATGGCATTGTCCTTAAATGTGGTCAAAGTCCTTAAATGCCATTCCCCCTTTTAACTGAAGTGTCTTTGAAGTAGCATCTTAGCCACTCATGGTAAAGTTCGGAGCCTGACTAGATGACTCAAATAATGGGCTTTCAAAGACCCTACTGCTATTGCCTCCAGCCCCTCATCCACAGGTCTCCTGTCCCCTTCTGTTTTCAGCTTCTTTGTCTCTGGTATGTCCTTCTGTTCTTTTCTTCCAACCACTCTATGCCTGGTCGCCTCAGAATCAACCTTTATCTCAGCATAGATGCCTCTTTCTCTTCTACTGCTGCCACCCCTCCTTCCCTCCTCTCCACTAGAGTGTGAACATCTGTTCTTCAAACTCAAAACCTGCTCATCCAGCCCTAGCCTTTATTTGCATTGTTTTCATTGTAAGTTACTTCTCTAGTCTTCACAAAGAATCAGTGTTCTGTGGAGGCAGGAGTCATGCCGAGCTCGTTCAAAACTCATCTACAGTGCCCATCATGAAATATGGAATAAACTTCAGTGGAATCAATTGTGTTGCCTGAGAATACAGATGCATAAAAGGCATATAGCATATATCTTTAAACTCATAAGTAAAAGATAAATATTTTTCTTAAGCATAGTTGTCATGGTTTGTATGTGCTTGGCCCAGGGAGTGGCACTATTAGAAGGTGTGGCCCTGTGGGAGTAGGTGTGTGTCACTATGAGCATGGGCTTTAAGACCCTCATCCTAGCTGCCTGGAAGTCAGTTTTCCACTAACAGCCTTCTGATGAAGATGTAGAACTCTCAGCTTCTCCTGTGCTATGCCTGCCTGGATGCTGCCATGTTCCCTCCTTGAAGACAATGGACTGAACCTCTGAACCTGTAAGCCGGCTTCAAATATATGTTGTCATTTATATGACTTGCTTTGGTTATGGTATATGTTCACAGCAGTAAAACCTTCACTAAGGCAATAGTAATAGAAACATATACAAAATAGACATTAGTATAGAACAGGTAGTGATTAACTAGGGAAGGCCTGAAAAGGAATTTAAAAGATAGCATCTTCTCAAAGCGACAGGAATGCTGCATACATCGAGTCTCAACAATACGAGGTCTAGGAGCCTAATCAAGCCCTGCATTACGACCACAGCAGTCAATGTGCCGTGAGAATGAGGAAATTTCTCAAGCTCCACCCCTAGGTGAACAGATACAGGCAGCAAGTGGGTATTGAGAGACGAAGACTCAGGTTTCCCCCCAGGGAAGATCCCACTGAAAGGTCCTCCAGTTCCAACTGGTCAGCCCTAAACATGTGTGTATGAGAAACAATCAGTGAGCCCAGTAGATTGTATGCATGTGTATGTGTGCCTACATATATGTGTATACTAGATATGTGTATTTAATAGCAATTGTGGAGAGGTCATAAATTTGAGATGGGGTTGAGGAGAGGAGTTGCAGGGTTAGTTGAAGGGAAGAATGGAAATGCTATACAGTGCTCCTGTATAAAATTCTCAGGAGAAGGAGGAGGAGGAGGAAAGAAAGAAGATGAAGAAGAGGAGGAGGAAGGAAGAAGGAGGAGGAAGAATGAAAGAGGAGGAAGAAGAGAAGAAGGGAGAGAGAAGAGGAGGAAAGAAAGAAGTAGAAAAAGAAGAGAAGAAGGAGGAAGAGGAGGAGAAAGGGGAGGAGGAAGAGGAGAAAGTAAATGGAGCCAACTGAGAACCAGCTTTGGGCAGTTCTGCTAATTAGCTTTTCACCTTGGGATATGTAACCTGACTTCTCTGTACATTATTGTTCTGTTCTATAAAGATATAGTGAATAACACTTTACAAACCTGTGTGGAGGATTCAAAAGCATATAGTTTAAATGGCATGTATAGGAAGCGTGGTGCTTAGTAGGTGTCCAGAAAAAAAAATCTATTAATGCTGAGTGAATTTGAAGTTCTTTGTACATTGCTGAATGTACCTGATGTGATGAAAGAGAGAAATAGAACTTATTATAAAATTACAGCTTCAGCCTGGGTCAGGAGAAGGAAGTCCTTTAACTAGAGTCTGATAACTGATCCCTCGTCTCCATTAAACTGTAATAAATGGTTAAAAACACATGGAGAAACTTTATATTGCAAAAGTCCTTAAACTCCAACCTGGGGGAATTATTTGCTCTATTGCTTCCCTGTAATAGGCTACTTAGAGTATCTTGATTCATCTACAATTTAGATTCTTTATAATCTGACATAATAAACTTCTACCCTGTACTTCAGCTTTACCTTGGACGCTTAGGGAGATTGATTAGATTTAAAACAAACAAAAACAAACAAACCCCCTTAATGCTATATGGTAGAAATGCTTTTGAAAATACATTATTATAAACCTGATCAGAAGCTAAAGGTAATATCAATGTATTTTCACTATCCTGGGGAAAGATAGGTCCTGTAAATCCAGTCTCTATGGTATTGGTGATGCAAAGTATCTCAATTCTTTAATTCTAAGAGATGATATCAGGCACTTTGGCATGCCTTCCAGAATGTTGTCAGATTGATTTCGGTTCGTCTAGGTGCCTGTGATGAGATTGTTATTCATCAAGTTGCTTTTCATCAGGCAACTCTGCTAGAATTTTCACTTCTGACTTTAATATTAGACTAGTCAAGCACCCGTGTTTTCCAATTTCCTTCCAAATCTTAAGTCTCACTGAGCATACTGCACAGCCATATAATTGATTTGGCATTCTCCAAACATTTACCCAGTTATCTGAGAACTCATGCTCCGGTTCAGGTGTATGGAGGTGGTTTGTTTGTTTGTTTGTTTGTTTGTGTTTGTTTTGTTTTAATAGAACTAATGTCCATGGGTCCTTGGAGTTCTGAGTATGAAGGAAATGGCTGGGTTTTACCCATTTGACACGTACAGCTATTCCCATTACACGTGCATGTGAAGCACCTAAGTTAGGAGCACTGAAGTCATTCATAGTTGGTGCTAACTGCCAACCCTTTGTATCATGACTGGAATGTAGAGCAATGGGGCCTTGGTGTGAGGTTGCACTGCAGCCCGTCCATGGTTCTAGCCTATGCAGCCTGAAGTCAGCCCTGCTGTGTCTCACAGTCATGCACCAGAATAGCATTTATATCAGAGCTCATGGCTTTTTCAGCCCCACCCAAGTCACTGCCACTGTGACATGGAAATAGAGGCAGACGGATACATATGTTTATAATTCTGTAGTTGATTTGTATAGCTCAAGTTGGGCTCTTCCTCCTGCAAATCTCAGGATGACTTCTTAGTCTCCTCTTCTGCTGACTCTACACTGCCTGCCATACATGTCTGCATCTCACATGGTCTCTGCTTTTCTTTCTCCTCCAGCTTCTGAAATCCTAGCCGCCTCTTATGCTTCACCCTAAACCTGTTCCCAGAGAGTCTAACTCAGTGGGGGTGGCAGGAGTTGGGCCAGAACACACTAACTGCAATGCTCTCTGCATCCGCCTATTGTTTAAGTTTCTATTCTTTTCCAGTTCCCAAGCACAGAATTAATTACTCCTTTCTCTTCATCCCACTAG